TCTAGATGGCAGCTTGCAAGCTTTTAAGATCCCAGTCGCTACTCGCCAAAGTAGGAGGTGGAACAATGTTTTGTGTAGTATGTTATGGCAATTGAGCTTGATGTCTGCAAATGCTGCCCTTTTGATCTCAAATGGTTGATTGTTCTAAGGAGTGTGTATCTTCCTAGCGTTATTGTTCCCCTTATAGACCTGTCTATTGTTTGCCTGAAAATTGAGCTATGGGAGTGAGTTCAGTTCCAGGTCCAAAGATCCAACCAGTAAACCTGGTTTTTTGTGGGTTTTTTTAATGATTTTGAGTTTTATTCCACATTTTTCTCGCACACTATGAAGGACCTTTTAATATGATCCTTTTCAGAGAGATCAGTAGTGGTAGCTGGGCACCATCTAATTCTTCTGGTCTCAGGGTCATGGAGGCTGAGGTTCACGTGGTCCATTAATCCTTTGGACTGATATTTCCATGTGTATTTGATTTTCTTCACTGTTCTTTGCTGCAAATGGGAAGAGACTAATAGTTCCTCCTTAGATGGCCACTCTTAAGTATTTAAGACCCCAGTTACTACTCACAAAAGTAGGATGTAGAACATTGTCCTTGTGGACTCTGTTGTGCCAGTTGACCTTGATGTCCCCTGAGACTATGATCCTGAGAACCCAGGCCCAGTAACTCACTCCCTCAGGGTTTTTGGTTATGGCTAATAAGTTTTCATAATTTTGCCCCCTGTATGCTCAGCTATATTCATGGATATATTTGCAGCATATGTAAATACATATGTAAAAATATCCTCTGTGGTAGAGAGGGTTTTAAACTCACCAAAAAAGTGCTTTTATTAAACAAATACTATAAAATTCCCTAAGACCAGCAAAATTCTTTATTAATTCCAGTACTTTGTATTTGGTGTTGCCTATTGATTGTAACTTTGTAAAGGAAAGAAGGAAGGGAAGAAAAGTAGCATTTGTAAGTATTTTTAGTGTGTTGGGCACTGAATCAGGCAATTAATCTACATCATTTAATCCTAAGAGTAAACTTCAAGGCAGGCACTGTGCTCTGCATCTATAATTCTGGTCCTGAGACTCACCAGGGCCAACTCACTTGCCCAGAGCCAGGACTAAAACCCAGATCTGTCTAGTTCCAAAGACCTCCTCCCACTCATGGACTGTTCTCTGCAAATCCAAATCAGTTGTTTTAGAGAGGGAAATTGTACTGTGGTCAATTTCATCTAGGAGAACCCCTGTTTTCCAGCTCCATGCCTTCCATGGATGTGGTTACATTAACTTTGCAGCTTTAAAATGATCCAGTGGAGTGTAGACTCCATAGAAGGACACATAACAGTATTTTCTTTCCAAAATTCCTGGTTCTCAACTAAAACCTTAGCCAAATTCCAGCTGAAGCAAAGAAAATTAGCTTCAGGGGACATGAGAATTCCCCCCCCCCCCGACAGCTGGAATCAAGGTAGAAAGTGTTGACGCAGAGAAGGGTACAGGTAAACTTCAGGAGGTCAGAATTGGGAGAGATTTTGCTCAGCTTAGAGGTGAAGAGAGATTTGGGAATGTTTCAGGCAGGATATAGCATTTAAGCAGAGTGTTGGCCTTGAAATGACGGGAAAATTCATTCACACAAAAAGGAAGCAACAAAGACACAGAGGCAGGAAAGTGAGGACATTGGTGGGAAATAGGGTACTAAGAGTGTACTCTCGACAGCCTTGCTCTCCATAGGAAGAGGTGGCTCAGGTATCTGTTGTTGTTGTTGTTATGTCCCGTGGAGTTGGACCCGACTCATAGCGACCCCTCCTTGGGTTTCCGAGGCAGTATCACTGCGGAAGTAGATTGCCCCATCTTCCTTCCGAGGAGTGGCTGTGGGTTTGAACCGCCAGCCTTCTGGTTAGCAGTCAAGTGCCTTAGGCACTACACTACCAGAGCTCCCAGGTATCTGTTAGAAAACAGAATACATTCCATAACCTGGTATGTTACAATCATCCATTGCTGGAGGAGCAATCTTCCAAATGATATGGCACATCTGGAAATGTCTCCCTTCTGAATATATATAAAGGCATGGTTTTATTTTGTGTACAAGTGGTTAGTGTAACTAATGTCCATTTTAAGACTTGTGTTTCATTTTGTTTCTGCAGAAGGAAACTCCCCTTGCGAATGCTGCCTTCTGGGCAGCCAGGAAAGGCAACCTGACTCTCCTGAAGCTGTTGTTGAACAGCGGCCGGGTGGATGTGGACTGCAGAGACAGTGTATGGACTGGATCCGGTACATGCATGCCAAGAACACACTATTCTCCTCTGTTGGCATGAGAGCCCTTCGTGAATGCATTTCCCTTCACAATGCTTGTTTCCTTTTTTTTGCGTTTTTGCTTGCTTTATTCTTTTGACAAAATCCAAGGTACTGTGGTGACCTTAAAAATGTGTGGGAGGAGTCAGAAAGCACACGAAACAATTCCATGTGTAAAACAGAAGGAAGCCACATACAGTAGGGAGAGACACTTCCCTGGGAACCAGAGTTGGCAAATTCCAAGAAGAAAAGGCAGTTTAGTCAAAGAATTAAAACCAACTGCTTCTGTGAAAAGATGTGGATAATTTAGAGCAGAAGGACCTTTGCATGGATGTGGAAGTTTTTGTTTTTGTCTTTGTTTTTTCGTACAAGGATGAGAAAACAGAAATTGAAGCCCCCCCCCCAGCCTCTCTCATCCTTTCAGTACCTTTTACAAACATAAATACTCTAACTGGCAATTAAAGGGGAGATATAAATATATCCCATGGCCCCGTACCAGGCCCCACTTAGCCCTTTCCTTCCTTACTAGAAGCAATAATCACTGTACTCACAGGACTTCACATTTCTGGGGTCTAGGAGGTCCTCAGATGAGGAGAGAGCTGAGATGTTTTGATTTTAGGATTTAAATAAAAATGTTTTCAAAGGATCCTTACTGTTTTCATGAAAACAGGGTGTGCCATTTCCAACTTTTATTGCACACATTTGGTAAGTGAAACCAGCCACCAGCCCAGGGGTGAAATAATAATGTTTGTGCAGTTGGTCTACTGTGTTCTGGGTGCAGGGTATCTCGGGTTGACCCCTCCAGACCCACTGTCCACCCTTCTCCAGCCTGCTCTGTGTCCCAAGTGTCTGAACTTTATACATTGTTGCAGTGGACTTGCCTGCCTCCTGGCTTCCAGTTGGGGTTGGCCAATAGCAGCATTGGCAGGAAGTTGGAGGGTGGGAGGAGAAGGAGATTGGGGAGCCCAGTGCCCTCCCTGCTCCTGCCTGCCAGGCCTCCTGCATGGCACTATCATGCTCCAGGTCCTGAGAACCACAGCTTCCCCCACACACACCCTCAGGCCTAGGGCTGGTGATGGAATCCTACGCTATTCTTTGTACCACATCTTTATAAATAGTGTCTTCATTAAGTTTTCTTCAGATTATCCCCATTTGGATGCCCATCTTTTTCTGAATGGAGTCTTGGTTTTCTATGAAGTGACCATCTGGTCACTTATTTGGCTTATGAGTCAGCAGTGCTCCATGGGACAAAACTGTGCTTTACCTACACTGACCATTTGGATGACTGCTTTTCTCCTTTCTTGAAGTTAATCCTTTTCAGACACCCCTGGGTCTTCCTCTTGACTTTCCAGGGTCACTCTGCTATACTACATTCATCCTTCCCCAGACAATGCCCCATACATCAGGCTTCTCAGAATCTTTCCCCATCAGAAAGCATCTATCTTTCCTCTTTCCCTCAGAGCTCACTGTCTGTTGAGTGGCGAGTAGCTATTTTGATCCAAAAATTTGCTTTTTTGTGCATACATGAGTATGTTTATAAGTCACCCTGTTCTGATTACCTAGTGCCACTCTGACAAGAATATACCACAAGTGGGATGCTTGAACAAACAGGAGTTTATTCTCTTATTTTGGAGATTTTAAGTCTGAGTTCAAAGTGCCAGGCTCTAGGGCCTGGGTGAAAGCCCCTCAACCTCAGGCTTCAGCTCTGCCTCTTGCTCCTGGCCCACTGGATCTAGAGGCTTTTCTTCACTCAGACAGCTGCTGGCTGCTGAGACTGACAAGCCCAAGGTTGACAAGTAAAACGGTACAGTCCCAATGTTCCCAAGCACGTGGCAAGCCATTAATTCAAGTCCATTGAAAGTTCCAGGGTCAGCAGAACATGGCAGGCTGCTGAACAATGACACGGCTACATGCAGGGTTCAAGTGTGCATAAGCTAGAGAAAATTCCCAAAGCTGCTGCTTATATATGGGAAGCAGACCACATACCCACAGCAGCTACTCAGCTGCTCCAGTAGATTCCACCATGGACTTAATTACCAATCTCACCCTGGGGAATAACTGCATTCAGCTGCCCAGCCACTCAACCAGGCCCAGCCAAGTTGACACACAAACTTAACCGCCACACAACCCCTCCTTGCTTTTGTTTTAAATCATTTTATCGGGAGCTCTCTGGAGAGAGAATTCCTTAACCCCAAGGAACAACTCTATGATGGTAATTTCCAACATTTATTTTGAAAGATTCTCTCAGGCAGGTTAGTGATGTCTGAGTGGCAGAGAAGTGTTTGGGAACAGTACAGCCCTTTGTTTCCCCAGAATTTCACTGTATTCATATTTGCCTCCTCCACATACCACTTGAGGAGCTCTGGTAGCATATACCTAAAATACTTGGCTGCTAACCAGAAGGCTGGCAGTTCAAACCTACCAGCCACTCCTTGGAAAGAAGGTTGGGCGATCTACTTCCGTAGTGATACCACCTCGGAAACCCAAGGAGGGGTCACTATGAGTCGGGTCCAAGTTGACGGCACATAACAACAACAAACATACAACTTGAGCATGGAGTTCACAGTCTGTGATGGTAGTGGTTAGCTTCTCAGGCTAGTACTGCCCTTGCTAGTAGGACCAAGGCCCCAGGATCCTAGAAAGCCTGTGAGAGCCTTCAGAATGCAAAGATTGGTCCAGTGGGCTTTCTTGGGAACTGTTCCTAACCTCAAGTATAATATAGTCAGATTTTTCCAACAAATGGCAGCAGATACTAGGCTTTATATTCCAAAGTTTTAAGTGGCTGATGTTCATGTTCAGTTTCTAGATTCATGCTGTCTTTACATGATGTTCACATTTTTGCTTAAAAAAAAAAACTGCCATCAAGTTGAGTCCAACTCATTGTAACCCTTCATTGGGTTTCCAACATGGTAAATTTTTACAGAAGTAGATTGTCTTAATCTTCGTTCCACATAGCGGCTGGTGGGTTTGAACCGCCAGTCTTCTGGTTAGCAATCAAATGCCTTAGGCACTGTGCCACCAGAGCTTATCTCTAATGCTATCCCACATGGATATGTGCTGTTAACACACATTTACTGCAAAAATGCAATGGCAAGGTTTTTTTGTTCTTTTTATATATAATAATGTATGTGCCTGGGAGCTCTGGTGGCATAGTGCCTAAGGCATTTGACTGCTAACCAGAAGTCTGAAGGTTCAAACCCACCAGTCACTCCTCGGAAGAAAGATTGGGCAATGTACTTCCATAGTGATACTACCTTGGAAACCCAAGGAGGGGTTGCTATGAGTTGGATCTGACTGGACAGCAGTGAGTTTGGTTTTTTTGGTAATGTATGTGCTTACTGTCTTTGTTGTGGTTTTCACTACATTTATACCCATCACATCCTCTGGTCAAAACCAGTTTTTAAAAGATACACACACTCACACATTAAGTATTAGAATTGACTGGGATAATACCAAAACCAAACTCACTGCCGGCGAGTCGGATCCAATGCACAGCAACCCCTTCTTGGGTTTCCCAGGTGGTATCACTATGGCAGTATATTGCCCAACCTTCCTTTGGAGGAGTGGCTGGTGAGTTTGAACTGCCAGCCTTCTGGTTAGCAGTCAAATGCCTTAGGCACTACGCCACCAGAGCTATAGGATAACATGAAAATGGAAACTAAACTGTAACTTTGTTGTTGTTGTTATATGCCGTCGAGTCAGCCCCGACTCATAGCGACCCCTCCTTGGGTTTCCGAGGCAGTATCACTACGGAAGTAGGATTGCCCAACCTTCCTTCCGAGGAGTGGCTGGTGGGTTTGAACCGCCAGCCTTCTGGTTAGCAGTCAAGTGCCTTAGGCACTATGCTACCAGAGCTCCCTTTAGGCAATGAAATAAAATACCATTAATTTTTAAAGAATTAAATTCAGTCAAGCTAATGGGTTTTAAATATAAAGAAAATAATTCTGTGTAGTATAATACATCAACAGATAACCCCTTCTTTATTCTCTTTCTCCTTTGTCCAACCTCTGACTTTTTCTCAATTGAACATGATGTAGAATTGAAAGACAATCCACATAGTGCTTTTATTTGTTTCATCCATCTTTAAGACAAATGACTGTACCATTTTTTAATTTTCTCCTTAAAATATCCAAATTATTTTGTATTTCCTCTGGCTTATGATTAATTTTATTTTGAGACAAGTGTTGACCCATGATAAAACATTTTCTCACCTCTTACATAATAGATACATTCATAGTCTGTCTATTCAGATTGGCTTTAAATCAAGGGTTTTCTAATCTGATATCTAAATAAGATTTCTCACATTTAGGAAGAAGATTGTCATTCCAGTACTGGAGAATACAGAGAGAAAAAAAATTCAACAGAACAATGTCCGGTACAAACCAAAAAAACCAAACTCACTGCCATCGAGTCAAGTCCAACTCATAGCAACCCCTACTGGTTTTCCAAGGCAGTAAATCTTTACAGAAGTAGATTGCCCCATCTTCCTTCCATGGAGCAGCAAGGGGTTTGAACTGCTAGCCTTCTGGTTAGCAATCACATGCCTTAGGCACCATGCCACCAGAACTCTTTAATGGATAGTATACTCTACACTCTCGCATAATGCCAAATATGGTCCTATGGCATAGGAACAATATCATGGAGCATTACTGTGAAGTCATTAGCTTTTCCTGACTCTGTAGTCTTTTTATCTACAGTAAACAAGACTTTCCCAAAACTAGTATTGCCATTCACAAAAGTCAGATGATGCTTACTGAACTATCATAATGTTATTTCAATATCTAATGTTTACTGAACACTAGTTCATCTAACCTCTGGCATTATTATACTAAGTATGTTGCCTAAATTATCTCATTCATTCATTTAACTTAATGAGGCAGATACTTTTATTTCCACATTTTATGGATGAGGAGAATGAGATTTTGAAGGGTTGTGTAACCTGCCCAAGATCATACTGGGAGTGACCACTCAAGAATCCTGCCTTCCTATAAAATCCCACAGATGAAAATAACATAAACTAAAACTAACTTACACCTGGTGTGCTTTCCTCATAAGCAAAAGTGTATCTCTAGTCATCCACTCCTGAAAAGTAGGCTGCTGACCATGGAGAGGTGGTGGGTAAGGTAACAATTTAGTAGCCCTTGAAAATAACTAGGTAAAAGTCTACTTTAATTGGAAGAGCCCATATCATGTTATGCCTCAAGTCTTTGAATCTTAAAGCTGAAAGAGATCTTGGCAATCATCTTACCCAATCCCTCATTTCAAAGTTGGAGTAAATGAGTCCCAATAATTTTAAGCAACTTCCCCCAGGTTACACTGTTGGTTGATAACAGCAGTGGACTTAGGCCCCAAGGCTCCTGCCGCTTCATGCTTTAATCTTGTTTCATTGTGGTGTTTTTCATCTTTACCTGAACTATTTTGAAGATAAAGACTGTCAAACACAAAACTAACCAGTACCATCTGACATTTTTTTTTGCATTAATAATAGTAGTTTAAACCCAACAAACCAAACCCACTGCCGTCGAGTCGTACCTGACTCGTAGCAACCCCTCCTTGGGTTTCTGAGGTGGTATCACTACAGAAGTAGATTGACCAAACTTCTTCTTCATCTGTTTCTCTTCCATCCAGCATGGCACCACACTCCTCATGGTAGCTTCTTACGCTGGCCACCTGGACTGTGTGAGGGAACTGGTTCTGCAGGGAGCAGACATCAATCTCCAGAGAGAGGTAGGTCAGCTCTTGTACTTGAATAAGAATTACCAGGGTAACAAACATGGAAGTTTTCATAGTAGTGAAATGGTAAGGAAAACAGTGGTTGCCATCGACTCCTGGCAGCCCCGTGTGTGTCAGAGAACTGTGCTCCATAGGGTCTTCAATGGCTGATTTTTTGGGAAGTAGATTACCAGGCCTTTCTTCTGAGATACCTCTGAGTGGACCCAAACCTTTTAGCCATTTGTACCACCAAGGGATGCCAAATTGGTAAGGAGGACAAGAGTAATCATTGCTTCATTCCTTAGCTTAAATTAAAGCTTAGATTCAGGAGCTCATTTGCTTAAAATAAGACCCAAGCTCCAAAACCAGTTGTGCTTCAGGTAAGTGTATCTTGTCAGGCATGTGTCTCAGTCTGAGGTGGCCAAACTTTAATCACTTTCCTTAAACACTTACATGTTTTGTGCCAAGCCAAAAGCAGTTCTTACTTCTTTTGGAATGAGATGCTATAGAACTGACAGAACTTTAGTGTGAAGATCATTATATTTTTAGATGAATCGAGTCACCAACCTATCCTTGATAGGTTTACTTACTGAGACATTCTCAACCATCCTCTCCAAGCCATATTTTCAAAGGACTTCTCTGAGCTCTGGTAGTATAGTGCCTAAGGCATTTGACTGCTGACCAGAAGGCTAGTGGCTCAAACCTACCAGCCACTCCTTGGAAAGAAAGTTTGGCAATTTACTTCCATAGAGATGCTGCCTTCAAAACCCAAGAAAGGGTTGCTGTGAGTCAAATCAATGTGATGGCAGTGAGTTTGGTTTTTTTGATGTGGTTTCTCTGATTGTCTATGTATTAAATAAGATTCCCTGAAAAAAAAAAAAGCCATGAAGGTGAACACTGGACTGAACTGTGAGCCTTTTCCCACACTCTGCTCAAAAGCAGTCTTTTTTTTTTTTTTTTTAATTTTACTGTGATTTGGGTGAAAGTTTACAGAGCAAATTCACTTTCCAATACAGTGGCTCACATATACTTTGTCTCATGACATTGACTGCTGCCTCCCACAGTGCAACAGCTGCCTTCCCACTTCCTCCCCATAGCCACCTCTTTCCTGTGTCCTTCCCTCCCAGGCACTCCTGCCCCCCGAGCTGTCTCCCTTGCATACACATCCCTTCTCTTCTCCTATGTTTGATCTCTCCAAGGAGTGTATCTTCCTAATGTAAATGTTTAGCTCACAGAACTGGATTCAATTCCAAACCTCAAGGGCAGCTAGAAGCCATAGTCTCAGGGGTTCCACTAGGCTCTATCTGACCAGCAAACCTGGTCCCTTTGTGTGTGTGTGTGTGTGTGTGTGTGATTTAGAGTTTTATCCCACATTGTTCTCCCACTTTATCCAGGATCTCCTACATAGATCTCTCTCTGAGTAGTTGCCAGTGGTAGCTGGGCACCATCTAATTCTTCTGGTCTCATAGTCATATAGGCTGAGGATTGCATGGTCTTGGACTAATTGCTTCCATGCATCTTTGGTTTTCTTTATTCTTCTTTGTCAAGAGCAGTCTTGGGGACTTGGTCTGGCCAGAGGATAAACAGGTGGCCCAATGTAGAGGACCAGTGGGGAGGCAGGGGCATTTTAGCAAACCTTTGGGATCAGACGTGAGGGGCCTTTGTATGTTTTCCGACCTTGGGTCAGATCATGATCCTGATAAGTTGGCCATTAGGGGGACACATCCTCAGAACATACCTGGAGTGAATCTTCTCCCTCAGTCCATACTAACTTAGACCTGACATGGGTTATAGGACAAGCTCCAAACCAGACCAGACCACTTGGTTTTCCTTAATTCAGCCTTATCTCAGGTCATACCCCACAATCCTTGGAGAAAGGGCAAGCCATAAACCAAATTTCCATCAAGTCAATACACTCCACTTTTCCCCTGGACTGTTACCCATCAGTGGAGCAAATTAAGACACTCCAGGCTAAAGGTTGTGTTGACTTCCAAAGTGTATCCTCCAATCCCTCTTCTTACCCCTTCTGGGTGTCAGAGGCCTTAATAGTAGACCATGGATGGGTGACATTTGACTGAAAGAATTGCGGGGGGAGGGGGTATCTCATTTTCTATAGCCCAGATCAGCAAGTCTGATCTGATTTATTGAAAGTAGTAGTACAGAGAAGCTTCAGTAAATTCAATCAGATTTTATCACAGATTCTTTTGAGCAATTTCCTTAAACTTTAAAAAAAAAAAAAAAACCTCAGATAGTCTTTATTTTCCAATCTGTTGTTTCTAAGAAAATGTCAGGTAGATGGAGTTAAACAGAATCCACCACAGAAAAGACCCTGGAGAAGATCCTAGCAAGAAACCCACCTCCCAAAACTGGGGCCAGTCTCACCAGGAAGTGGTCTCAACTTTACAGTTATTCTGTACCCCTCCACGAGTTATACCAGCACTGTCAGGTGGATTGTGTACTTGCATTTGAGAACATAGTCCCCAGCTCCAACATCCCAGAAGAGAGCAAATGTCTGTCATGAGATCAACCCCTACCCCTACCTGAAGGCACAGTAGCCTGGGACTAACCCCATAACTCAGTGGGGCAATGTGACACTCAAGCCGCCCTCCTTCCACTCCCTGGCAGATCCACACCCCAGACCCACCTCCTAGACGCCACAAGGCAACCCAAGTGCCGCCATGTCTGCCCAATGACGCACTGATGGCTGTGTGCACTACTATGTCTGGGGGAGAAGTGCCTGAAATTCTGAAATTGAAACCTAAAGACCCACTACTGCAAAATCTACCATGGGTAGCACAAGTCCAGTTTAAAAAAAAATCACATCCGACTCTGAGAGAAGGACTATACATCCTTCCCCAGTTCCAGATCAGGAAAAGTCAGAGTTCCAGTCTGCTAAGACAGCACCTGTGGTGAGGCAGGTCTCGATGGAGGTCTCCAGCGCTCCTTGGCACTCTCCAAGGTGCATAGCGGGAAACGGCTCCCTGAGGATAGAAGCCCATTCCTGGCCACTCCGCAGCCCAGGCAGCAGCTCCTCTTTATGGTTTTTGCTGGCACCCAGAACGAGAGCCTCGCCAAGGTCTGCCCACAGCTACTTCTGCACTGTGGGCTCTGGTCCCGCCATTTGGGGCCCTCAGAAGGCCACCACTGCCAGCACTACCATGGTCAGCATCTTGTCCCCCCAGGCGGCAGGCCAGCTTCACCTTGCACAGCAGAGCTGCCATTGCGCTGGGTCTGCGATCCGGGACTCCTTCTCCTTTTTTTCCAGTCGAGCTTGGAAAATCTGTCTTGGAAGAAGTATAGCCAGAATGCTCCTTAAAAATGAGGATGACAAAACTTAGACTCCTTACACAGACTTTGGACATGTTGTCAGGAGAGGCCAGCTCTAGAGAAGGTTATCATGCTTGATAAAGTGGAGGGTCAAGAAAAAGAATACCCTCAAGAATGGATCAATACAGGCTGCAACAATGAGCTCAAACACAGAAACAATTGTGAGGATGGCTCAGGACTGGGCAGTGTCTCCTTCTGTTGCATATAACGTTGCTGTGAGTCAGAACCAATTCCACAGCACCTAACAACAACAGATCATTGTTTTAGGTAATTTTCACATCAGCAGTTAATTTCTGTCTGGGAGAAAAATGTTCAGACCCTTTTAGAGTTGTAGTGGAAAATTACCCTAATCTTTTTTTACCCCTCTCTCTCTCTCTCAGTTTTATTCTCATTTATTATAACGTTAAAGAAAAGACAGATTTTCCATAATAAAAACAATATGATCCAGATCTGCTCATTCAAAAGAAACTTTTATGCTGAAAGGCAGTTCCAACATATACAAAAATCTCTTAAGAACTGAGAAAAGCTCTGAAATAAGAGAAAGAAATATTGGTTTGATTTCTAGCCAATCTGTGGTTTCTGTGGTTTTTACTTATCTGTTTGTTTGGTTCCAATTGCTCAACTCATGTTCTTGGAGATGACAGACTCTTGTGCACTGAACACAATAGCCCTTGAGAACTTATCCAAAGTGAACCCAGGTTAGCGGTCACCTGTATGGCTCAACAATGATGCTAGGTAAGTTCCCAGTGATCCCCTGAATTTCCTGAGACCATGGCAGTCTGGGGCCATGGAGTTTCTGAGCCAGAAAGAGCCCCAAACTCACCTGCTCTGTTTTAGAAGCTGACAGATAATGCCTTGTCATGCTTTGGAACTTACTCGTATAGCAACTTTGCTTCATTCTTAATCCATTTTCCAATATCCATAATATTTGCTTCCTGAAAATGTATCTGCTGCCATTGTTTTCTTAGGTTGGCTATCTAAACACATAGAACATGCTAGTGAGACAAACTGGAAGGTAATGGTCCTGATATACCATTGCTTTAGAGAACCAGCACTATTGGCTGACTAGGAGCTGCAGGTATAGTTGGTGCGAAGCCTTGTGTTTCACTACTAAAGTGTATACATTTAAGACCTTCATACACATTCCAAACTGAAGACTATCTCCTATTGTCTACACATTGCTTCATTAATGTGCATAATATTTGATCCACTGCTCGTCTGTTTGTCATACTGTGGTGGCTTGTGTGTTGCTATAATGCTGGAAGCTGTGTCACCAGTCTTTAAAATATTAGCAGGGTCACCCGTGGTGGACAGGTTTCAGCAGAGCTTCCAGACTAAGATACTAGTAAGAAGGATGTGGCCAGGTCTACTTCTGAGAAAATTATCCACTGAAAACCTTATGAATAGTAGTAGAACATTGTTTAATATAGTGCTGGAAGATGAATCTCTCACGTTGGAAGGCACTCAAAATAGGACTGGGGAAGAGAGCTGCCTCCTCAAAGTAGAGTTGACCTTAATGACATGAACAGAGTAAAACTTTCAGGAGTTCATCTGCTGATGTGGCACAACTCAAAATGAGAAAAAATAACTGAAAACATCCATTACTTAATGGAATGTGGAATGTATGAAATATGTATCTAGGAAAATTGGAAATTGTCAAAAATTAAATAGAATGCATTAAAATCAAT